CATAGACAGATGCACCTTTTTTTGCAGTGTTTCCACTTTTAAAAGAGTCATTTGTTTGTTCATTTTTTGTACCAAAGGCTCCCAGCCTATCATGAAGTAGAAATGTTGCAGCAGGGTGCCACCATTTATCCCCCTGTTTCTTTGTTTCTGTTCGTCTAATTGGGCAATTCAATTTTGAACACCATGTCTGTAAATTGTGAAAAGTCTGCACTGCAGTATGGATGGGTAATATGGATATAATAATATAAGAGAGTTTCTAAAAAGCAGTCAGCTGAGAGATGTGTATAGGTTGTAGAACCAGATAAGAATTTCAGATCATTTAGTTACTTAAATATCTGAAGTCTCAACAGTGTGGAGGAGATGAGCCATTGCACACGGAGAGCTGGAGAGGGCCGTATAAGGGCTTCAACCCAGGAGCACACCTGGTACCTGCACCTTTTTCTGAGGAGCAACAACTATTGTGGCTACTCATGCTTCCCCTTTTTTGGGGGGTTGACTTGTTTGTTGTTGCCTCTCCATTGCACCTGTTAGTTTCATTTATGCCAGAATAGGTGAAATCACAGTGGTTTCTGCTTCCTTAATTTCCTTCACATTTTTGAGCAGTGTGTAAATTAATGCACACAATAAACTAAATGTTAGTGTCAGCTGCCACAATGCAAACAATATAGCATATCTGAAAATATAACTTAATAATTGACTTTTATCCCATTGACTGGCCCCACCCACATTGCATTACCATAGAAATATGACAGGATGCTCGCTATCTCATGCGTCTCTCCATGCTCAGGACTTTGACTTTAATCCTGTACAAATTTGACTTTTAAAAAAAGGCAAATCTCTATCAGTAAATTGTTAAGATCTTGTTTGAAAAAGTAGAGCACACTGGGCAATTTGTAATAATAGTGTCTATTTGCAGTATAGAGGAATGGGAGACACAGTTTCCTGCAGCGGATATCCTCACTGCTAATGCATATTCTAGTTAAAGGATGATCTGTTGAACGATTCACTGAAATGTGATGAATTTGCAGCAGCTTATAAACAGTCTTCTCTGTGTTTGACTTGTCCACTTGTTGATATTTATGTATTTATTTATTTTTTGTCTGTTCTCTGTTCCTCAGGAATCCTGGAATGGCCTTTCTGGACCAAGCTTGTGGTGGTGGCCATCGGATTTACAGGTGGACTGGTTTTCATGTACGTCCAGTGCAAAGTCTACATCCATCTATGGAGGAGACTCAAGGCGTATAACCGGGTCATATATGTGCAGAACCGTCCAGAGACATATAAAAAGTATCCACTGGAGAAGCCCCCCCTAATGGAGCCGAGTCTGGAGAACAAAGAGGCTCTGGCCCCCAATCTGTCAGACACAAACTCCTCCCAGTACACGGAAACAGAGGACTACAGTATGGAGGTGCTTCATGTCTGACAACAGAGTCTGTGCCATTGGTTGTCGTGCACATACTCCACACCCAAACAGGCCCGCAGAGGAGAGGAACAGTCGTGATCGGTCACTGAGGAACAACCGTACCCTTTTCCCTGAAGCCAGAATGACCCACGTCCTCCACTATCACCTTATACTCCCTAAACTCCATCCACAAAGACAGAGAGGCCATGAGCTTCCCTCTGCCTACATTCCTCCTATCACACTGTATTCCTCCCTCCACCTGCATCTTTTCCTTTCCCAGGAACAGACTCTTTACACTGACTTCTGTAAATGTTGGAAGAGGCCTGGTGCAAACCACTCTGTATACACACACACACACACACACACACACACACACACACACACACACACACACACACACACACAGACTCTTTAATGTACACCTCTGGGAGAGCTGGACTGAAAAGAATGGACTTGCAAAAGGCTCTGGAGGTCTACAGGTCCCCGATGTGTGGTTTGTTTGTGGGTTTTGATCAATCTGTTCTTTTTTTTTTTTACCTCCTGTGAGTGTCGGGCTAACCTGCCATGGATCAGTATGTAGCGCCATGCATCAAGATCTCTGGAGCATTCCAGATACTGCCATCTCTGCGGTCTGTCAGCTCCACGCGGTCTGGATCCAGCGAGACCTGGATCCGAAGATGCATCAAAGCACTTTTTATTTTTTAGTCCCCAAAGCACATCCCACCCCTTCTTCTCATTGCCCCCTCTTTTTTTTTTTTTTCTTGTATCTTGTACGTTGTAAATGGGGGAGAGCAAACAAACTTTTCTTCAAGTGCAACATATGCTTAAAGATTAATCCTTCTGTGGATGACTAAAAGGATTTGGGGTTAAAAAAAATGAGTCATTTGAACGACGTCAGTTGCATAACTTTGATTCAGATGATGGAAAATCTAGCCACTTGACTTCTGTACCCCATGGTGAACTTTCTGAAGGCTTTGAGAATGTAATCTTTTTAAAAATGATTTCAAAAAATTTATAAAATGAAAAAAAAAATAATCATTTTTTTACTGGGAAATTGCGCTTTGTCTCGATCATAATGAGGCCCTTCGGGCATAAACAACGTCGCGCTTGTGTTTTGTTTTCTTTGTTTGTTTTTTTTAAATAGGTATTTACAGTTTTTAACATGTTAACTCGCTTGCTTAGCCATGGGACAAGCCTCGAGGAATCCACAGCTGCCTACTTTCAGTTTGTCCACTGAACTTTAACCAAAGGTTTTAACTACAAAAAAGAAACATGCTTTAGCTCCTACCCTGTTTTTTTGCATGGTTACAATCCAGCCACACTTAATCTTTTCACTTAATTAAGCAAGATTAAGGTGGAAGTGTGAAAGGATTCTTAGTGAGCATTTCAGATGAGTACTCGGTGTAAGTGTATTTTATTTGTTTTCGCTCTTACATGTTGGTCTACTTTAGTATTCGATCACAAGACAGCCAACTGATTTCTGGCTTAAAAAACACCTTTTTTGCCACGTTTACTCCACAGTTAAGCATTAAGAATGACTTTGAAGTCAGTGAAACATTTCACTGCTGCTCATTACGTTCAGAAAAACTCAGTTTCTTTTAATAAAATCAATGCAATACAGCTGCTTATTTATGGCTGTGACAGAGTCGATGTGCATCATTACTTTTTGAGGAGCTGACTGTACCGCCATCTGCTGGTGTTAAAGTGAAGGTGCAGCCTGAGATGGGCAGCGGTTGATTTCTCAGGTCGAAGTGGGTGTTTTTTCTGGGGGGGGCTCACAGTCATTGTAAGTGCGTTTGTCTATGTGAGAGCACAGCAATGCCCAGGCTCATGTTGAGCCTTACAGCCATTCCAGCAACACACACATTTTTCAAAAACTGTATTTGATACCAGTATACTGTCTGTGAACAATGATGGTCCAACAACGTACCTGACAATTACTGCTCAGCAGCAGCAGCAATAAAGCGCTTTGGGTTTTTTTTGTTTTGTGTTATTTGCATACTGTATTTATGTATATGCCCCACGGAGACTTGAGATCTGGAGTTTAATATAATTGTAATACATAAATGAGCCGAGGGACTTGTTGTGTGTCAAGTTGGATTAAGACCTAGTAATGAGAACCATCTCAGATTCTTCAGTACCCGGGAGGCTCAGTGCAATTAGACAGATTTTATTTTTTTAAAAGTGCAATTACCCTTTTGTTGATGTTCTGTTCTGCAATTATGTACCGGTGTTTAAAGTCCAGGATGTCCTCTGGATAGAAAATTACTTTCTTTATATTGTGTTGTATTTATTTTTAACTGAAAACAGCATATTTTTGTTCATTTACACACAAAAAAGACCCTTTCATTAGTGAATTTTATGCAACTTACACTTAATTTTTCTTCCCAGACACTAATAGAAGAAAATTATTTTCAGCCCTTGTTTTGCATGTAGTCATTCAGATAATAGAGTTGCTCAAAGCTTCAGTCCTTTTTTAGTTTTTAAATTGATTGTGGTGTCATTTTACTTTCTCCCCATAGGAGCTGGCTCCTTCAATGAAATATGAGAGGAGTTTTGTTCTAGTGTGATGGCTTTGGATTGTTTCCTCTCTGAGCATCTTATCCTCTTTACCGTCTTTGCGTCACTCACCCTTTACGTCCATAATCCCACGGAGCAGAACATCAACTGAGACTCTTCTCAGCCTCACTATTTTAGGCTGTCTGTTGATTACCTGGTGACTAAAATTTGATCATGTCTGGGACTAGTGTAACTTGCATAAAAGCTACATTTGTTTACTACTGACTGGACTTGAACATATATGACTGTTCCCCTGTCTTATACCATTCCGCAAGTCTGTCTGTGAATTTGCTTTGAAATAGTAACTGTAAAGAATTTGGTAAAATGTACTTTTTTGTTTTTATGAAAAATGTTGATGTGCTTTCAGTTAATTTCCCACGTTTGAACAAAATATGTAGTAATTAAAAGAACAACCAAATAAAAAATTAAGTGACTTTTAAAACTTTGTGACTTTTAAAAAAAAACGAGCAGGGACAAATCCAGTCTTAATGGATAATTAAAAACATTTCAAAGGGCGTTGTGCTGTAGCACTTTAATTTAGTTTCACCCAAATAAGCTGCAAATCATTTTGAAATCAGCTCTTTAGCCAGAAGCTGTAATGCCAGCGACAGAAACGTTCAGCTCGCCGCTCGATGATCTTGCCCTAAAACTTTTCTATGACAGAAATACAAACTTAACATTCAGCATATAGCAGAAAACACGGTTTGTCACCTTCTCTCAACCTCTTAAGTAATTGTTATGCAAGTGCAAGATGAGGAAAGACACCATCGTTTGAGTGAATGAAGGCAACACAATATGTACCCGTGGATCTTTAAAAAATAACTCAAAAACTTTTTTTTTTTGTGATTGAAAAAGGTAAACTTTCACATATTCTATATTAATCACACACTAATTCTCACAAATTAGAATATTGCTTGCATAAATTACTATTCAAACATAATGATTAAACAACATATCTTCGGCGGTGTAGTTCTACTGCTGATTGGTCAGTTGTCCAGATGAAGATTGCCAGCACCCTCCTAAAGGAGAGCCACACTGCTGAAAAGGCTGGCTGCTCACAGACGCTGTATCAAAGCATAACAGCAGGAAGTTGACTGGACAGGGAAAAGGTGCACAAGCAGCAGCCTTGCGAGGATTATCAGGAGAAGTCGATTCAAGAATTTGGGAGAACTTCACAAGGACTGCAGGAGAGACATCCTTAGGAAAGGACCCACATCCGTAACATCAGGTATTTCCTGTCAGAAGCATCTTACATGAGCTAAGGAGAGAAGGAAGTGAACTGCTGCTTATTTCAGATGAAGTACATTTTCTATCAAAGTACGAGACTGGAGAGGCACAGGTGTTTGAATTCTAGTGTGAACTTTCTGGAATCTGTGATGATGCGAGGTGCTGGTTGTTACTGGTGGTTGGTCCACTGAGATTCATCAAGTCAACACAGGCATCTACCAGGATATTTTAGAGCTTCACGTTTCCTTTTGCTGAGAGGCTTTATGGAGATACTGATTTCATTTTCCGGCATGAAGCTTAGCATCTGCCCACAGTGCCAAAATGATTACCAGATGTTTTTTCTGACCATATTATTATTATTATTGTGTTTGATTGGCCAACCAGCTCACCTGACCTGGACTACAGAGAGAATGTGTGGGGTATAGTCACCGTTAGATGAGAAACACCGGACTCAAAAAGGAACACAAGCTAAAAGCTGCTGTCAAAAACACCTCAGCAATTTTGATTCATTTCAGGAAATATTCAAATAATTTGGGACCCTGGATTTTTGACCATAACCAGCATAATTAAAGCGTTTTTTTAATGTTCACTTTACGTATAATGAATGTAGATTATATGAAAGTTTATCTTCTTGAATTATTACAATAAAAACCTTCAAAATATTCCGATTTTTCAAGATGCACAAGATTAAAAAGAAACCGCTTCCACAGAAATATCCCAATCATAGGTAACATAGAGCATATCTGGACAGCTCGGTAACATCATCAATCTTCGATCTGTATGTATAAGTATGAGCCTCTCCACTAAATTAGTCTTGTTTGAATTCTCAAACTGCAACACTGTTTGGGATTTTGTCAGGAGACATGTTGTAGTATGGTAGCTTCTTTCCCTCGTTCCTCTTCTTGATGGAGCTGGTTATCTCTGCCAGCTCCTTCCTGAACTTTGCCATGGCATCCTTCACCGGCTTCTCTGTGAAGTGCTCATCAGGATACATTCCCAGGTACAGCTGCAGAAATAGTGAGACGTGATAGGTTATTTAGCCTGGAGGAACGCCACAAGGAAAAAGGAAGGAAAAAAGAAGTACATTCTGAAGCAGAGGAGAGCATCTTGGGAAATGAGAAATGTACCAAACGTATCAGACTTTTGATTGTTTTGGAGGTGTGTCTGTGCTGAGATGTGAAAGTGTTCGAACGGTTGTCTGTGTGCTTTTCCTACTTCATTCTCTTGGTATTGGCTGAGGGCCCAGACGGCCCCCAGGTGCCAGCTGGAGCGCCCGCGATCAGGAAGGCTCTCAACGATCAAATTCACATTGGCCAGACCTTTCTTGTTGGGTGGGGGTTTCCGCATGGTAGATGGAGCATTGGGGATCCAGGAACACCAGTCATACTACACAATGTACACAAAGATACAGTGTGTGCATTTACCCAAGTGCTGTACAACAGTACAAGTCTGATGTTAAAGAATAAATATTAAAGAATAAATATATATTCTTAGTACTTATTTTCTGATTATATTGTTTTATGTACTTTAATAATAAAGGCCTGTATAAAGCAGGGCCAGCTTTGAAGAATATAAAGAACCAGATTTAATACCGAGCAAAATCTTTCATCTTCTTCTGCTTTCTAATTTTACTTTTAGATTTCATAAGAAAATACTGCAC